TCTCTCTCTCTCTCTTTCCTTCATTCTCTCTCTCTCTCTCTCTCTCTTTCCTTCATTCTCTCTCTCTCTCTCTCTCTCTTTTCTTTCCTTCATTCTCTCTCTCTCTCTCTCTCTCTTTCCTTCATTCTCTCTCTCTCTCTCTCTCTCTCTCTTTCCTTCATTCTCTCTCTCTCTCTCTCTCTTTCCTTCAGTCTCTCTCTCTCTCTCTCTCTCTCTCTCTCTCTCTCTCTCTCTCTCTCTCTCTCTCTCTCTCTCTCTCTCTCTCTCTCTCTCTCTCTCTCTCTTTCATTTTCTCTCTCCTCCTCCTCCTCTTCTCCACCTCCTAGTCTTCTTCCTCCTCCTCCTCCTCCTCCTCCTCCTTCTACTCTTCCTCCTCCTCCCTCTTCTCCTCCTCCTCCTCCTACTTTTCCTCCTCCTCCTCCTTTTCCTCCTCCTCCTCCTTTTACTCTTCCTCCTCCTCCTCCTTCTACTCTTCCTCCTCCGTCTCCTGCTGCACCCCCTTTTCCTTCATTGCTTCAGTCTTATTCTCCCTTTCGAAGCAGTGATTCTATTTTCCACACCCTACAGTTGTGTGTGAGGAACCTTTCGCAGTCCTGCCGGAGATGGCAGACCTAGGATGCCTGTACCTCGAAACTCTCCTCCTCTCTTGGGACGCAGCTCGCAACAACTGCAAGGCTCTTGGCGGAGATTTGTTCGTTCCTGCAGACGGAGAGCAGTTCATTTCCCTGGGCAACTACTACTACCACTACGACATGGAAGGTAAACGTGTACCGTTGTTATTTTTCTTCGTCCAGCAGCTACACCAAAACTCTTTTTACGCAGGGGTGTACGCTGGTGTTGCTGAATGTGTTTGGTATTAACGTGGTTTTCAACATCTAATTTATTCTGTGGCATAATTCCGATATTCTTCGCATTATTAGCTATATCTTAAGTGAAGAAAAACGCCATTCATGGTGTCACAAGATGAAAAAGATTTTTTTTTTCTACATGCCCCTTAATAGGGTCTTCGTGCTCGCGTGGGATGCTGTTCCCACTCACGCCCCCTTTACCTTTACATTTGTAATAATTTTCCTTGCATATTCCTGAAGACCCAAAATGGGTCGGAATGGTCTTACACGAGTGGACTGACGGTCGGCCTGAAAACGAAGTCTGGGCCCCTGGCGAGCCCAACTACAGCGGCGCCTGCGGGATAATGCAGATCTCGGAGTTGGTGGACAGACCGTGCGAACACGGATACCGCTCCATCTGCCAGAAGTGAGGACTCCCGAGACGTGCAGCTGCGCGCGGGAAGTGAGATTCAAAGGAGAGGCGGGTGGACCGACGCAGAGAGAACATCACGATGGCGAATGGACTAATGTAGCAAGTCTATGGGTGTCCAGAAGGGGTTATGCACAAATACACACATACACACACACACGCAAACGCAAACACACACACACGCAAACGCAAACACACACACACGCAAACGCAAACACACACATGCAAACGCAAACACAAACACACACACACACACACGCAAACGCAAACACACACGCAAACGCAAATACACACACACGCAAACGCAAACACACACACACGCAAACACAAACACACACACGCAAAACAAACACACACACACGCAAACGCAAACACACACACGCAAACGCAAACACACACACACGCAAACGCAAACACACACACACGCAAACACAAACACATACACACGCAAACACAAACACATACACACACAAACACGCAAACACAAACACATACACACGCAAACACACACACATACACACGCAAACACACACACATACACACGCAAACACACACACATACACACGCAAACACACACACACACACGCAAACACAAACACACACACAAACACAAACACACACACGCAAACACAAACACACACACGCAAACACAAACACACACACACGCAAACACACACACACACGCAAACACAAACACACACACACACACGCAAACACAAACACACACGCAAACACAAACACACACACGCAAACACAAACACACACGCAAACACAAACACACACGCAAACACAAACACACACACACACACACACACACACACACACACACACACACACACACACACACACACACACACGTAAACGCAAACGCAAACACAAACACGCAAACGCAAACACACACTCACTCACTTCATCTCGCACGCACGCAAACACCAGATTCGTATGCGGAATACCTCCGTATAACCGGTTGCGGCGATTTTGGTATCGATGGATTAAAAAATCCAAATATATGAAAATTATGCCGCCGCCCCCCTCCATCTATATACAGTAAAGGACACATTTGTTCAGCACATTCCCCCTAATGAATCAACGAGGTACGAACAGCTTGGCAAGGCAAGAACACACTCGCACGAGAAGTTGCAAGAATGAGCTTCTTTCCAAGGTTTCCCTTATAAACTGAACTTCTCTCATTCTCGTATTTATTGTGGTATTATTACCATCATTGTGTGTGTGTGTGTGTGTGTGTGTGTGTGTGTGTGTGTGTGTGTGTGTGTGTGTGTGTGTGTGTGTGTGTGTGTGTGTGTGTGTGTGTGTGTACGCGCTTGCTTGCATGCATGCTTTCTTTCTGGGTAATTGTATAGTTCATATATGTCAGATAGTCTCCTTTTAACTTGAGTACTCAGTTTACAAAAACAAATGTATATTGCTTGCTTTAAAATTAGTGTGTATATTTCCTGTACCAAGCCCCTCCCTTATATTACATTACCATGGCCTGCTGTCACAATTAAAATATCTGAACTAAAATTAAACTAGTGTGAGAGAGAAGCTTGAAATAGCTCTCCTAAAAGTAATATCTTAACCCAGCCACCTTTATGTTCTGTCCCCTGTAGTTTTTTTTGTGAATTTTGTTAAATACAGATGGCTCCACATGTGCTCAGCCGGCAATGAGTCTATCAGTAGGCCCTAGTGACCGATCCCCATTCCTTGAATTGGCGAGAAAATGTGCTTTTCTTTTTAATATAATTGATATCGATACTGTTACTATTGTTATTGATGTTATGATTATTAAATTGTTATTCAAATCTTGGTAATATTTAAGACAGTGAAATAATGCAAGATCCTTTCCAATAGTCAAGGAAAAGGGTAAACAGGCGAGATAGGTAGGACTAATGACCGACTCTCCGGTGATTAAGCACTTGTAGAGCAATCTATGTGTAAACACAATAAAAAAAAAACCTTGTATTACAGTGGGCATGGCATGTATTCTTGCAATTTGTGCCTGGTGGGGTTAAAAGGGAGAGAAAGCATTACCAACTCTATTCCATCTGTGATTCTCAAAATCTTGTCTTGTTTATCTTGCGTATAGATATCCTTTTCGTAGTATTTGTTCTATTGCTATTTCATGTTACAAATGAATACACTTATTGATAATCCCATATGCCATATAAAACTCTTCTTTCAATATGCACATACTGGCCAATCTTATAAATCTAATAATTTCCATTCATGTACCTCACGCAACCACAATGAAAGTAATCACTTTAATTAAATCCACACTTTTGTCCATCAAAATCCATGCTTTGTCACATATTGAGCAAGGGAAGGTAGTCAAGTATAAAACCATATTAACAGCAAGATTGTATTTTATTCTCTACCTTGCATATCCCATACAAAGCACTTACACAAGAAAGGCAAGTTATAAAGTCAATAAGTTATGGCTGGTATAATATTCTACAAGACAAGGACTGTACTTCTTGAGTTTATTCTTATATATATACACATGTCTATCAAAACAATGTTACTGCTCTTTCATCCAAGTCAGTGTACAAGGGCATTGTATTTCTACAATTGGAGAAACCTGGGCATGATCAAAGCAAAGGCAGAGCATTAAACATGCAGAATAAAGATATTGCTGGTCACCACTTTACTGATGTCACTAAATGCATGTCTATTGTTTTTTCTCATATAGTACCTCATAATATGAATATCTTATTGATAGTTTATATGAGCTCTGCAAATGTCTAAAATAAATAATGTAAAGTTTTTTTTTCTTTTCTTCTTCCATGAGTTCCGTACTTTCTTACATTACGTTCACATGCAAAATGCTGTCTGCCATATGTACATAAAGGAGTAACAAGATAGAAAAAAGGAACTAATCTGTGCATAAAGCCAGTGAGAAAAAATAGACAAAACAAGAAATGTGAAATATCAAATTCTCAATATTCTTAAGTATTAGCCATATACTTTTTAAAAATCTGTCATATCCATAATAAAATAAAACAGAATAAATATATGCTCTTTACACTCCACACAACAAGCATTGTCATGAAAAACTTGCTTTGAATGCCAGTCAGTATCAAACAGTAAAAGTATAAATCATTCAGTTCTTTAATCCGTATGCATTCTAAAGCACAAGATTTTTTTGTTGGGCAATGTTATAAAAGTCTTATGGGGATGAACACCTTGAAGATCCCTCAAAAGAAAATGGCATTTTTCTTTGTATAATTTCTCCCTACATGCAAAATTTCTTGAAATGAAATTTAGAAGAAAGTGAAGTTCAAATAACGATAAATTGTAAGTAGATGCTCTGTACTTCTCTAGGTAGACATTACATTCAACAAAACAATCAATTGCACAGGTATTACAACCTCTATGCATAATGAGCTGCAAGTACTACAAAATAAACATTATCTAATACACATGGCAACAAAGGCATCACAGAATGTGTATACATATACATACATATATAAAAATACATAAATATTTATGCTAATACAATACATTTGAGCCAGGTTAATCAGTAGCACAGGCTTCTTCCTATCACTGAAATAACTCGTACATTTTCAACAAGATTAAAAAAGACGTAAAAAAGTATATGCTCTGGTGTCTTTATGTAGCTACCTATGTCTGTCAAGCAATAAAGGTGAAGAATATGACTGGTTCATTACGTGGATATTTTTTAACTGCATAAACCATGAAAAAAAGACTGTCCAAAAAGTTGTAAGCTGGGAAGAATGAGTAATCTTCAACTTGGGAAAAGTCTACTGCAGTGCCTGTCATAATTCAATATTCAGGAATATATTTCTTTGACATGACATTATACCATGCCCAAAACAGAACATGCCCACATTCTCTGAAAAGACTGCTTTTCACATAACATTAAAAAGCAGCATTTTAAGCTTGCTAAAAATAAATTCCATAGAAGCATTTCTCAGGTTTTACATACTTGTCTATAAGCTCATGCTTAACAATCACTGGAAAGGAAATCAATAACAAATCTTTAAATTTGATGTTTTCAGCTTAAGTTTTACTGGGTTTTGCATTCCTGCAAAAGCTTCTGTCTTAAGATGAATGTTAAGTGATAAAAACCTACATTTTTCAGCATAAGCTTTTAAAATCAGTGTCTGAGAATGAGTGAATGAAAATACCTAATAAATGCAACTTAAAATGGCAAGCTCTTTCACTCAACACTGTTTTACCAGATGTCTTTCATGTCCAGCACTTGTCTTCTATATGAGGACACTTTTTCCGATATATCACTGATTTATGAGATGAACCTTACACATTCTTTTACAATGCTTTCAGATAAGAGAAGGGTAATACTGGGCAAACATCAGATACTGACATAAACAGTTCACAGTTCAATTATGATGAAATATCCAAAAGAAAAAAAAAAATCCTTGTCACTGCATAGCTGACAATGGTGATTCAGTCACAATACAAAATAGAGCTCATTATGAAATAGATTTCATTCATATAAAGTGAAAACAAGAATAAATGAGATAAAGTGGCAAGAGAAAAAAAGGCAAAAGTAAAAAAAAAAAAAAAATCAAATATATATATAAATATATACAGGAAAGGCTGCCAAAACATTTTCCAAACAGCTATTTGTCTGTTTTCTTGTCTCTAACTCTTGCTCTTGAAGAAGGGCATATTACACTTGACTGAGCCCCATCGCCTGAAAGAGGACCTTGAGGCCAGAGTCATTGCTCTCGGCCTTGTAACTTGGGCTGGAGTGCAGTAGTTGTTGACAAACGCAGATGAACCATAGATGTCATCCAAAGAGGACTTCTCAGAGCTTGGTGATCCATCTGCCAAAAAATAAAAAATACTAAAAGCTTGTAAAAGTTATAAAGCTTTACACATACAATGGCAAATTGAAATTCATATTTAGATACACAGACAGGAAAATATTTAAAGGAAAAGAAAGAAGACAATTAATTGCCATGATATTATCAAAATTTCAAGATACCATGATGTTCCAAATGGTTTCACTTAAGCGCACACACCTCTAAGAGGAGTCTCCTCGTACAGGGAGGTAAAACGCCCCCGTCTGGGCAGGATGAAGTTGTGTCGCGTGGGCTGTGGTGTGAGGATTTCCATCTCCTCCTCGGCTGCTGCTCCCCATAGTCTGTGATCTGAGATGTGCTGCTGGAGACACCTGTACCAGGACGACGCCTCACTTGGGGAGTCAAGGCCTAGCGTCAAGGAGCCACGGTCAAAGCCTGTACTGTTGGACACCACCACCTGGGAGCCATTCAGGGTGACCTCCGTATGCTGTGGGGAAAGGGTTGGTCTAAAATCCCTATTTCTTAAGACAAACCATGACAATGACTGAAAGCATTAGATTGTCCTTCACTACTTTCATTTATTAATATGATTATTGTTACCAAGATATGTAAGCTTACTTCAAAACTTCCCCCTATTAAGATGAAATACATAAATTTCTGAAATTTTACCCCCCTTTTCAGCTGCATATTTCAGGTATATGAAACTCCTGTAAATCCTACAAAACTGACTGACAATCCAATAAACCTCTTTTTCAAGATGTTCTAAAACATGGCATAATCCAAATGCACTCACCCTGTCCACAGAGAGGGAGAGGGGATGATGAGGTGAAAGGTGCACATCCTCTTTCGAATTCCACACCTCTAGCTGCCATCCAAACAATCTGCACCACGAGTTCTGCTGTTCACTTTCCTGGGAGGGGGGGGAGGGATAGAAAATTGATAAACTATCTCAATCTTTGTTTCTCATCTTCATTACATGTCAACTTTTCTGAAGGCTGGCATTCTAACCCAACAATATTTTTTTTCTTTAATCCTACTTTACTTTTCTTCCAAATGGTTGCTTTACAATGACATTTTGACACCTAATGTGGGTCTTAGATGTTCTCAAAAAAAAAATCTGTGTTGCATTTATATTTCACATAAACAAAGACACACTCACTTCTCACAATCAATGCAAGCAGGCACTTGTCTATACACTCACACGCACACAAATCCACTTGTACACACTACCACACCCGTACACTCCCTCACTCGCTGCACATAAGCATGCACACACAAACTCACTCACACACTTCCCCCCACTCCCAGCTCTAGCGCTGTACATCTATGATTTCTGAACAGTGTATTATAGAATAGTCTTAGATCAGCAAGAGAATGCTACCACTGCAACAATGCATAATTCTAGGAATGCACAAGTAGTCAGTAAGTAGATTTTGCGTCAAAAGTGCAAGTAATAATGATTTTGCAATATGTAGAAGCTACTCTTTCAGTGTTATGGATTCTCACATAAGCTACAGTAAAATTTAAAGCTTTACATAAACATCTTTAGGTAATTGTGAAGAGAAACAAGGTAATTTCCTTCACTAAATTTGACAGCTGTGACTGCCGGGGAATGGATCCGAACTATCTTTTTTTTTTTGTTGCTATTAATATCAACAAAGAAATATAATTAGTGCTATAGGTATTTGAGGTAATTCTACACAGTACACGGTTTAATAACACAAATATAAGAAATTAGCAACTAGTGGGCACTACTCAGTCTCTATCTCCCAGCACAGCCAAGGGGTAAAGCACTTTCCAAGCCCACTTTTCTATCTAGAACACAAAGCCTAAATCCAACAACCCCTAATTTCCGTTTATTCCCACTGCTGTCCTGAGCATACTGACAAGGCTTACCGTGACATGTGCATATCCTGCAATTCTTTCCTGTGTGGCACAGTCAGGCTGAGCGGCGAGACGACAGCAGAAGTGGCCAAACAGAGGCAACTGGTTTGCTCGGTTTTCTATGAAAATCATGAAAACTGAATAAATACAAATACATAATTGCAGGCATTATTTTTTTCAAAGCTCCTAGAAATATCATAAGGTAATTATTAATACCTATACCATTATGTCATCAGCAGTTACTTCTGTTCCATATACACAGAAGAGAATGAGGATGATAGTTCCTTGGACTTACAAAGAAAAAAAAAATATTTAATATTCCTAAACCTACAAACAACAAAGATTATTGAAAACTTACCTACGTTCTCCATGTTCAGGTCAAATGTTGCAGTGTTGTTTGAAACGTTGTCGAGCATCAACTTTGCTGTGGCAACCAGTTCGAACTTGGGTCCTCTGTGGAAAGGGACTCGTGTAACAGTTCTGTCTGTTAGTAAATCATATATCAGTATGGTCTACTAAAAATGCATAATGGACACTATAGTGAGCCGGTAAGGAGAGGAAGAGAGGGTAGGGGGAGGGGGGGGTAGAGATAGGGGGAGGAGGAGAGGGAGAGGGAGGAGGAAGAGGAAGAGGAAGAGGAAGAGGGAAGAGGAGAGGAAAAAGAAGAAAGGATGGTGGTGATGATGAAGTGGAGAAAAACATTGAAAGTGGTGGTTGGGAAAAAAAAATAAGCACACGGCAAAGCGAAGACAAAAAAGAGGAACATGAATGGAGAAACAGAGGACCCCGCCCCTACTTACAGCTCGCCGTGGGAAAGCTCGTCCCTGAGCGAGGCGGCCAGCTTGCGGCCCACCGTGCGCGAGATGGACGAGTGCAGCGTCCGCTTCAGCTTCCTGGGCGTGCTGGCCATCGTGAGGTCGTTCTGCAGGACGTGGCTGTACACCTCCAGGCTGCACTCGAAGCCCGACGGGATGCCGTTGCTGCGGGAACCGAGGGACGCATTAGAGCTTCGCTCGGCGGACTTTGGCGGAAAACTTTAGGGAAGCAGGATTTTTCTCACGGATGGGGTGTTTCCTGTATTATCTATCTATTGTTATCTATTACATGATCACATTATTTACTCCATTAGAGAATATTAACGTAATCCTCATCACTGCAGCAATACTAGTAGTCACACACTAACTGTCCCCATTCTTGCCTCTAGAGGACCACCATCACTCTCTTTCAAAACCAAACAGGAGACGCCGCCACCAATATAAACAATGACACTGTCACCAACTCCAACTTACAAGACAATGATGTCATCGAAGCAGATGTCGGTCATGGAGCGGTCAACGGGGTTCACCATGACCGTGTCGTAGATCTCGGTACCGATCTTCAGGAGGACAAACACGGCAAACCTGGACGGAAAGGGAGACACCTGAATACAAGAGAAATCTCTCTGGGGAAAGGGAGGACGGCTAGAATGCACGAAATGCTAGAAAGCAGTTAGAGAACGAAAATTAAAATTGGCTACGGCACACGAAACGTTAGAAATCTGTTAGAAAAAAATGAAGGGAAGATCGGTCAGGAAGTGCAAAACTATAAGAACAATGCTACTGAAGAAAGAGCTGCTTTTCAAACTGGGTTTACGGCAAGGCGGGAACACTAAATTAGTTTGGACTTACGGAATATAATGGAAAAGATATGCTGTTCCATTTTGATTTGTTCATTTGCCATTACTCCAAACCCCTTTCCTTTCTCTCCCCACATTTTTGTTAACCAATTCAAGCTTCTTTCTCCCAGAAGTTTTGTCTCTTTGTCTCGATCCTTCCCTCCATTTTCGTATCTTCACCATCATAAGTCTACACATAAGGATTTCAATGAACAATGTCTCTCAGTCTCTTTTTATCAGTCTATGTCAGTTAGCCTATCTGTCTGTCGGTCTATCTATGTCTACCTATCTGTCTGTCGGTCTATCTATATCTGCCTATCTGTCTGTCTGTATATCTGGCTGTCTACCCGCCTGCCAGTTTCTCTCTCGCTCCCTCCTTCCCCCGGCCTTTCCTCGCCCTCTACCCTACTCCCCT